GAGCTTAGGAGTTTAGGGATTTGGGTTTTAGGGTGTAGGTTACATTCCCCCCCCCATGAATGGAGAATGAAATGGACAAAACAATAGTTTTGAGATGGAAACTATTATTTATGGTTGAGAGTTTATTGTCCTGGCTAGGCTTCGGGTTCAATGAGCCCAGGAATCCAACTACCAGGCTGCTCTTGAGCGGCCAGACTCCTTGAATGGAGGAAATCTTCCACCACAGAAGATGCTCTGGATTTGTAATTCCTAGGGTGTAGACTCTAAAATCTAAACCCTAAACCCTTATTCAAGGTGGTGCAAGATCTCACCCATCCACCGTAAGTCTTACGGATGAAAGTTTACGGCGATGTTTCGGGTTCAGTGAATTTCTGATTTGTTTTGGGATTAACATTCCCAGATTCATCTTTGAGGGCGTAGGGTCTAGGGAAATTTCTGACCTTTTCGGGTGGATATACCGCCCAGTTTACACCAAAAGGCTGAACGTGGACAATCGCAGTGTAGCGGACATCTATTTAGGTCTCAGAGTTTTGTTTTGTTTGTTGGTGAGGATCTTGCAGGTATGTGGGGGCTGCCTAAGATCACCTGTTCTGCTTTTCAAATTGCATAGGGGTTAGACTCTTGTTGGCCAGAGTAGCTTGGAGTTATTTATAGACTGAGATGCCCACAGTCAGCGCATGTCAGCGCTAATAAGTTGAGCTGCAGCGTGAGGCTTGAGGCCAGAGGCCTCGTTTTTGGTTGTGCAAACAGTGTAGCAATCATGGCGAGGATTCTCAGCAAGTGTTTGATGTGTTCTGGTTACGTGCTTCAGTTGCTACAAGTAACCTGAACCCCCTAAGCCTAATCCCTGAACCACCCTAAACCCCTCGAAGTCGATAGCTGACAGTTCGCACGAACCTCAAGATGAATACGTCGCGGGAACGAGAGTAGTTATCTGAGGTGGAATATGTGCTACAGTTGGCTACCACAATAGGACATCCTCCGTCTGGTTCCTGCATTCACGGGAAGAACACCTTGCTTCGTCAAAGACACCTTCTTAACTGCTTCAACCCCCCAACCCCCACACACCACACCCCCTAACCCTGCACCATAAAATCTTACTCAGGGACCCTAAACCCTAAACCCTGAACCCTAACCCTCTACTCAGGTGAGAACCACGCCACAGCACCCAGGCGTGAGCTGTTTGTGCCCGCGCTTGGAAGCTCGACCCTGATCTAGCGTAGCCACCTGGAAGATGACCAACGCCGTTCTAGGATCCTTTTCTGCCTCTACTAAAATGTATCTTAAGACCCAGTTCTGATTATTTGGCTGCCTACTTTAAGCTTTGGGGATGAGGATGTTGGACCTCATTGCCGCAGTTCCCGTGCGGGAGTCGACTCTACAGAATTCCGGAATCTTCTTGTAGAAGGTTGCCTGCCAGGGTCCGAGGCAATGCTTGAAGATTGGCATTCTAGTTTTGTTTGGGCTGGGGTATGTGCGAATTTAGCTTTTAAGTCCGAATTTCTTGGGCACCGGGAAGCAAGATCTCCTGGACGAGCATTGACGCCTAACTGCTTCGCGAAGCTTGGCGTGTTATAAAGGGGTAATGTAGGGTTATATGGGGGATATATTGGGATAATGGAAAAGAAAATGGAGACTACTATTTAGGGTTGCGTCTGCGCATTTGACGGCTCACTATCCCTACTTCAGCAGGCTCATGTTTGCTGACTCAAGAACAATGTCCGGATCATGCCATGCAGACTCAAAGGGTTTTGTGGAAATCCACTGGAGCTTACTTAGCCATGTCTCATTGGGGTTCCCCACATGCCCCAGAAGTTGGTAGGTGTTGAACGTCCCTTGAGGACACCACTGTTTGAGAGGCTATGAAGGACTGCTGGCTAACTTGTAGCTCCTATTCAAGACCCCCCAAGCTCATCCGCGCTGTTGAACCTGTGTCCAGGACCCCTGGATGCTTCGCCCCGAACAAAAAAGGCCGTCCCTAGGTAGGTAGCAGCTGCAACATTGGGTGTCGGTATCGCATGTTTGTGTCTTTGTTTCAAACACCAATCATCGGCACAAAATGGTCTTCAACTCAACTCTTGCAAGCCTGAAGATGAACCCGCCCCATGACTTTCATTCCTAAACTCACGACAGATTCGTACTTATTTGCTCCAAGCCTATACCCTAAAGCCTACCTGAACCACCGAAAAATGGCCTTATACCCTTAAAGATTGTCATCGGGACCGTTATTCTACATATTGACATATTGTGAGGGTCCTGGTAAACTCTAAAAAATGTAGAGGTCCAGGTAAACTCTAAAGTCTGTAGATGCCCCAAACCGGAAGCTCTCCTCAGGTAACGTCGCAGTCAAAATCGCAGGGGCCGCCTCACATGGATTGTTGGCAATCAGGCGCCCTGATATGCAGGCTTAGTTTGTCCAATATCACCCCCCTCCAACCCCCCCAAATATCAACTTTCCCATGTACTATGTGCGTGAATGTATATGTATAGGTGGGGGGGGGAAGATGTTCAGGTACTAGTTTTGGATTGGGGGGTTTGGGAGGCTGTAAACTTAGTCCGAGTGTGTAGGCATGCGGCGATGCATGCAAAGGTCATGTCATGCCTTCATTTTCCAGGCTGCAGGCTAAACCCGAAAATCTGTCTGCCTTATAAGGATGGGATTTAAGTCAAACCCTAAACCACTCAACTCCTAAGCCCTAAACCCCTAAACCCCTAATTTGTTTTTTCTGATGGTTTGCGGTGGTTTGCAGCACTTGCGGCTTGAGCTTTGAAGGTCTAATGTAGAAGCCTGAATAACTACCTATCTTATTAGTTCTTGGTAGGGAATAAGGGAAGATTTCCGTAGAGGTTACATAGGGATTATCTTCCCGCATTCCCCACCAAGAACAAATAGGTACATTCTCTACTCTTAATCCCAATGTAACTACCGAGAAGTGCACGCCAAATGCCTATTACATTTTCATGGGTCCCCACTTATTTAGGGTCAGGGGATTCAACGGTGCGACTCGATCAGTCAAACACCGAGATCATAATGTCGAGTCTCGGTTGGCTTGCGGGCCTTTACTGTGCGAAGCTTGGCCGAAATTATCCAGCCCCGCACTGTTTGTTTGGGGGGCTGACTTGCGCGAAGTTAGGCAGGCCAAAATCAGGGAGGTCGGGAACCTCGGACGTATTGATATTAAGCTCAAACTAGGGCCCAAATTTGTTTGGGAATAGGGTACTGTTTTTGTGTGGGGGGCTAGATTGTGTGGGGGGTTACATTAATCAGGCCCCAACATGACAGAATTAGGAACCCAGAACAACTCGTAAACTGTATGGTGCTTGAATTCATCTTTAATCTAGCATATCAAGTCAGCAGTACCTCCCAGCGAGACCCCTGGTAAAGGATTCCTGCCTCCGAGCCAAACAACCTTGAAGCCTGAATCTCCAACCTGTCTTTTTTTGGTTTGGTGGCCTGCTACATCACTGACGGCTTTTACTATTTCTTGGCGCCTGTTTCGTCTCTTTAGTCAGAGGTTTAGACGGGAGTTTCTTCAACCTTCTTCTTCTGTTCAACCCCACGTGTACATCCTAATCCCTACTCGTAGAGCCTACATCCTATGAACCTTAAACAACTCGTGATTTCTACGCCTTAAAACCTAAACCAACCTTCTTAAAACCTACATCCTCAACCCTAAACCCTTAAATCCTGATTTGGATCAGATGGCTCTTGGCCGGCGAGCCAGCGAACCTGCCTTTGATTGCTTGTTTTCTGTTCCTGGAGTCTCTTTGGACATGCTTTTTTTTTCTTATTACCACAGACAGGGTTTTCGGGGTTTGGGGTTTGAATAGGGTTCTGCCGGAGTCTGCCTGGAAAGTCTTTAGGGGTTTGGGGCTGAAGTTTGAGTCTTCGGGTTTGGGGTTTGGGGTTTAGGGTTCAGGCTTTGAGGTTTGTGGTATAGGGTGTGGGGTTGGGGTTTAGTGTTGTACTGAATTCTCGTTTGAAAAGTTTTCTCACACGGTTTCGGCTGTAGGGTTACAGATCTGCAGGGGTCCCCTTGGAAAGCCTTCATGACACGTCTTACAAGGCTTTATTGCACCATTAGCCTGTACTGTACGTCTTTGGGGTTCGTTATCTTGTTTTCGGAATGTTGGGCTACCTGTTCCATACTGCATTGGAAGGTCCTGATCTTCTTGATTTCCGTTTCGCTTAAGCCACACGCTTACGGTTTAGATTTGCAGGGATTAGGGCTTTGGTTTCTGAATGGTAAATGCTCACAAGCCACCCCGCATCGTTGCGTCGTGTACGGGTCATACGAAAGAAAGATTTTCTAGCATGACTGTCGTGACCTTGCCCGCTCCACTCAGAACAGCATGCCGTGTCACAGGAGACTTACACGCCTAAACCCCAAACCCTAAATCCTAAACCCCAATCTCTGAAAACCCTGAGCCCCTAAACCCTCAGCCCTGAGCCCGAAACCCTGCCCTAAACCCTAAGCCCGAAACCCTAAACCCTAAGCCTTAAATACTAGACCCCAAGCCTTAAGCCCTAAGCCCTAAGCCCCAAGTCCTAAGCCCTAAACCTTAACTTAAGCCTAAGCCCTAAACCCAAAACCGAAAAAGCCCCAGGTTAGTTGCCAGCAACACCCAGCTCCTGACCTCCACGTCTTTGCCCCTTGGCTTGTCATTATTGCTAGAACTGTGCTATATCTGTAGTGTTACCCGTATTATTTCTCATTACTACAAGATTAGCTACTACGCTTATTGCTACGATTATTACTACAACTGTTTGTTGTGAAGTCTTTCCTCCTGTTTGCTTTGCAGTTGTTATCTGATTTGAGCCATGCTGGAGGTGGATTTCGCCCAATCAGCTTCCACTCGGGTGCAAATCTACAGGCTGACTGTTAGTTTTTGCTGTTGACTTAACCGTGCAGAGACCCTAAACCCTAGACCCCTAAACCCTAAACTTTCTAGATGCGCATCCTGTAGACTCCGGAACTCAAACTGCCGCAGACTCCAAAACCCTAGACTCACGGTAAGGATTTCACACATGAAGGCAATCCTCATAAGTGTGGCTTTGGCGCCATGGCTTCTGCTGGTGATGGTGGACTTCAGGGGGTTTGGGCGTGGAGTTGAGGATAGCTGGGGCTCAGAGGAAGTGCGCGTTATGATTTGAGGCCGGAGTCCTTGAATCTCCCTATGAACACTCTACTTGGAGGGTCAGGGGGACCTAGTAAGTAGGTTAAGAAGGGGGTTACTAGGGTTACTATATGGAGGAACTATTCACCGACTTACTAAGTCCACCTGACCCTCCTGTTTAGCTAAGGCTATTCTGCTGACCAGTACAGTTTCTGATTTGGGGCTTTGTGGATTCGGTTCAGGGTGCTGGGCTTGGGGCTTGAATTTTTCCTGTGTAGTGGCTAACAGTTGAACTTGAAGTTTTGATACCCTAAACCCTTATCCTTAAACCCCAAACCCTGAACCCTAATCCTTAAACCCTCAACCCCTTGGTCAACTAGACTTGGACCCTTCTTAATTTCTGGATTTAACAAGCCGTGGTCTGAGTCTGGGCCCTAAAACTTGCAGGAGTCCCGGGATGACAGATTTAGGGTTTAGGGTATAGGGTCCAAGGATTAGGGTTTAGGGTTCAAGGTTTAGGGTTTAGGGATTGAGGAGGGCCTCAAAACAATGGGTACTATTGAGGATCTGGGTGCCTGCTGGACGCCCCTTTTCCCAATGATTAGGGCTACGTACAGAGTTTTAAGGTTTTGAATGAGTATCATAAACAAACCTTGTCGGCTGAAGGCTGAGCATTTGGTATGGGGTTCTGGATTTGGTATCTGGATTCTGGATCAAAAGTTCTGACTGACAGTTGAGTTGGAATGGAACATGAATAGATTTGGGAATGAAAGCTGTCCTACATCTTTTAGGAACCCCAAAATCGAAACCCATTGTAGCAGGCCTCAAATCGTTACCCCCGATCCTCGATAAGGGGGTCCTAAAAAGCAGTATAGAGGCCCTCGATACTAAAGGAGGTCCACCATTTAGCCAACTTCAGGGCAAGCTTTGATCTGATCGAGACCAAACCCTCCATGTCATCCTTACAAAAAGCACGCCAATCTGCTTGGTGGTAAGTAGGGGAAAGGGAAAATAATGCCCATACAATCCCAATACAAGGCATACTCCTATTCCCAACTAGGCCCCAGTAAGTAATAAGGAGATGTTCCACCGAAGCCAGTTTCTCCATTCAGGTTTGCATTTGCCATTGTCCCAGATCAGGATGGCCTAAAAGCATGCAGGTTCTCATCAAAAGCACAGGGATGAAAGATTATATAGGGGCTATATAGGGATTATAGGTATTATATAGGTATTATATAGAGATTATATGGATTACTTAGGACTGTCTAAGCTCGCAAAGAAGCTCAGGTAAACCACAACTTCCTGCCTGCGGGTCGCAGCATACTGTAGACTCTTTGACGCCCATCACTAGGATTGGGCTCCACAACGGGCATGTGCCAGTAACAACAAATCATGCCATCAGTAGCCGGAATGATCCCCCTGGCTCTCGACTCTGAGCTTTCAACATCTGAGGTTCCCTTAGACCCTGCCACTTGAAATCCTGAAGCCGTAAAGCCTCCAAAATCCTCAATCCGGTGCAAAGCCTGAACCTTACGCCCTAAGCCCTATCAACCCTACACCCAAACCCGACCAACCGTGTAGCAACCAAGGAGCAGGATGTTTACATCGAGTTCAACCAGGTGAAGAACTTGTGGGAAGCACCTGCTGGTAAAGCCTACCTTTTCGTAAATGCATCTTGGCTGCAGGTGGGTTCAGTTGGAGCTTAGAGATATTGATGTTGTTTTTGCTGCCCTGGGTAGCAACTCAGGTTTGAAAACGGCGTTTTGACTCTGAGTTTTTGCAAGGCTTCGGCGTTCATTGTACCCTCTTTGCAAAGTAGTCTGCAAGCATCTGTGTTTTTGAGTTTGGTAGTCTGGGTTGGCCGTTCGGGGACTGCGGCCTTTGACTTCAAATGCTTTTTCCGCCGTTTACGAATCTAGCTACGATGCACACGAGTTAGAATACTCCAGTACACCAAGAGCTGATGAAGTGATGTGTTACATCACCAAGACAAGCAGAGTTGATCCCGTGTATTAGCCCTGAGGGCGTTCCAAGACATGAGTTGTAGAACGTCGCACACACACCATACAGCAGCTTTGCATAAAGAATACCACCAAGGCTGTTTCGATTCTCGCGCTGCTGCCCCAAGTGCCGCTGGGCTTTGTTGGGGCAAGTGCTTAGAGCAATTGGTCTCGAGGTCAAGGGGTTCTGGGTTTGCGCGTCAGGTCTTTCAATGCAAAGCAGACGGCACATATCGTGGGAACTTGAGGCTGACATTTCAGAACTTAGAGAGAATTAGTGGTGTGTTGCGGTGAATCCTGAGACTGCTGCACGAGCTCGCCCTATGAATATACTCTGCAGTTGTTATTATCATGCCGCGGCTTTTTGAGTGGTTTCTTGCGATTTCTGCTAGTGTTGTGTGATTTAGGATGGCACCTGATGGGCCCTGCACAGTTTTATTCCAAATGCGAGGACTTCTTTTACAAAAACTTCGATTAGAAGACTAAGGGCCTTGCTTTTGGGGGAAACTCCCGTGTTTCCCAGAGCGCAAACTTCATTCAAAACCCTCACCCAAACTCAAAGCCTACCTTCAAATTCTACCTAGACCCTGCAATGTAGCACGCGGAATTATATCCAGCAGCCATTTACACCATCGCTTGGAGCTATGATGCAAGGCTATGAAGTTATGTAGTGCGCGAGCTGCACCTTGTGGTTGGAAGGTGTTCTGCTGGGCACCTGGCGGGCAGGCTCCCTCGAGGGAAGCCAAAATGCAGGGTCTGCCGGGAATATTGAGGCCGCCCCGTAAAGGCGTCTCGGAGTACTCGGGGGCCGTGGTGGATGCCTGCGTTAGCAGGAGTGAGAGGAAAAAACCATGACACCAATTCTTGGTTTGCTGGGCACAAGAGACATGCCGTCGCAAGATATGCCCCCCCCCCCCACACCTCTGGGTGTGTTGGGGCAACATTTCTACATGGCCTCTCCAGCTGCCGTGCAGCGAGACGCCTTAAACCCAAACCCAAACCCTGAACTCTGAACCCTAAACCCTTTACTGCTGAGGCTGATCCGGTGGCAGGACCTTCCAGCGTTGCAGGTTTAGCTCTATAGGGTTTCAGGTTTATGGATTTTCTGGGGTCGGTTTGCTTTGGGGCTTCAGGTTCTGGATCTCACTCTTGGGCCCAAGAGCCTTAGGGTAAGGTGTTCAGGCCTTACAGGTGGGCGTATCACAGTGTGTTATCATACAGACACTCGGGCTCGGTGACACTTCAAGTGGCAGCAAACACAGCTGATAAAGTTCATGCTGCGGGAACGGTATGAAGAATCAATAGTTAGCTTACCAGCCTTATAGCCTGTTAGCATCATATAGGAAACTCCAGCTTGTGTCATTCTCGGACTTGGCCTCGTCGTCACTCGTTGCGTTGGGTCGTACGCCACCGCCGTGGTGGTGGTGGTGGTGGTGGTGGTGGTGGTGGTGGTGGTGGTGGTGGTGGTGGTGACGGCGGCAGGGAGGCAGGGAGGCACCGCTGCCGCGTTGTTGTGTTGGCAGCGGCGCTGGTGGAGGAGTCGGTGATGGTTGTTCGCATTTACTTGTTGCCGTGCCAGTTGTTGTTGCGTAGTTTGGTAGTAGGCAGTACAAAAGCAGTAGGCGATGAACGATAGGAGTAACAGCCGTACTGTTACCATATCATGACGTTTTCCTACCGCTGTTGCTGTTGCTGCTACTTCTACTCCTGCTAGTATAATTAATATCATGCTGATTACTACCGCTGGCAGTGCTACTGCTACTACACTGTCACCAGCACTATTGAAGCGATGCTGGCAATGATACAAGCAGCAGCAGAAGGAGGAGAATGAGTACGAATAGAAGGCGGGAAGCGCGATTAGGAGTAGGAGCACTAGGCGCAGGGAGCGCGAGGGGAAGTTATCAGTATGATGTCCACCGCCGGTACGTTTCTCTAAGTTCCCCTTTATTGCTAACATTGTTACAGCTTATCATGGCAATTCCGAGAAGTATTTGTTTAGCACTAATCTGGGCTCTTCTACCTCTTTAGCCGATGAGGGTCTCCATGCATGGGCGGACCCAACATGGACCCCGCTATATTCTATAGTCATTCTTTTTGGAACCCTATTTATCAATTGTGTTTTGCAGGAGTTCTTGCTGTGGCTCTTCACTTGTGCCACGCTAGTGCTGTGGGCAAACTCCAGCCTCAAGAGTGCCGAGACTTCATGGAATTTCCATAAACGGTCCTAGTACCCATATTATATGGGATCCTTACCCAAACCAGGAAGAAAGTCAGAGATCATACTTCGAAGAATGTTGGTACTGTGCTTGCAGGTTCTATGAACACTAAGGGCGCTTAAAGCGGTATCGATTACAATCTGCTTCTTCTATGTGATGTCAAGGCATCGTCTGTTGGAAGCCTATACTTCTGGTATACTCGTGGGAAGACTCAGGTATATGGCTCCCCCCCAGGCCATCCCAACACCCTCGATTTGAAGATAGCCACAAGTTATGCTAGGCGGTTAAGGCAAGAACCGGCGACCCATACTTGCAAAGTGCGCATTGTGATTCCGTGCAGTGGTTTCTAGAAAGGGGGCTCCTAGTGACTCCTGGGATATGCATGGTATGGCTGGTACCAAGGCTAACACGCATACATCAAAAACCCAAGACCCAAAGCGAACTTGAAACAGCTGTCCAAAAATGCTCAGAACTGTCGCGGCATGCCTTTGCAAAAGGCGCGGAGCCAGAGACTGTGGTGCTTAACTAATCGATTTCACAGTTTCTGCCAAGAGCTATTGACTATATGGCATGTACGCATAAATTTGTATACACATCGCTACACCCTTTAAGGCCTTTAGCACGTATTTATAGCAGTAGAGCGCCTGGTAAATCAGTGTACGAAAATGGGAACCCAAAACCAATAAACCTCAAATTCTAGGTAAACTTTCAAGCCCTAAACCTGA